GGGCTGGGATGGTGCTGGGTCGGGCCCATCTCTCCTCCCACTATGCCTCAGGCAAGGCAGAATGGGGAGGAGAATAAATTAGAGAAAAGGCTAAAAAGGCCACTGGCATTTGCTAGCTGGAGGACAGAGCAGCAGGGAGGGTCCCCGGGCACCCAGGGGGGCTCCTGATCACAGGGAGAAAAAAGCCCCAATTGCAGATGGTCCCGGAAAGCCACTGTCCTCCCCTCCCTCTCCTCCACAGGACAGATGTTCCTGTGCAACCCCAATGGCCCTTCATGCCCCTAAATGGGTTAAGGCACCGTCGTATGAGGAGGCAGGTAAAAACCTACCCGAAGCATCCCCCAACACAAGTCCCTGGAGAGGCAGGAATTGTTGGGGTGCTCCAGGTGAAGCGAAGTCCACTATAAATAACATATAAATTCCACAAAATTTCCTCCCTCCTGTCCATGAGTCTGGGCCTGAGCTCAGGCTGCTTTGAGGAGTGTGTGTGGGGCAGCTGCTGGGGATGTGCTGCCTGAGATGGGACGGAGGCAACTGGAGGGCTGCAGTCCTTTGCCAGGAGGTTTGGAGTGCTGGGAGGAGGTTGGGAGCAGTTCGTGAATCCTCTGGGATGGCCAAGCAGATGAGAGGAGTGCCAAGAGGCCAGGAGGGATGTGTGAAGCTCTCCTGGGTCCCCAGCTCTGGGTCCTGCTCCAGGGGAGCAGAGGTCCTGGCTGAGCCAATGGGGCAGGTAGCCCCATTCCTGTCGAGTCCCTTGCTCTGGGTTTTTATTACACACCAAAAAAAAAAAGGAAAAGGAAACTAAAACCCCAGTGTAAAAACCAAACACCAGCAACCAGAAGGCGCCTGAGCTGCCTGAGCCCTGTCCTGCCTCAGGTCAGAGCTGGGATGTCCTTGCTTGGGGGCTGCTCCTGGCTGCCCTCAGCCTCCTGCTGGAGCCACCTCGGGGTCTCTCCTCTTCATCTCCCCCTTGCCCTGGGGGGCCAAAGGTCCCAATGCTGTCGGAGCCAGCTCTGAGGGGTGGCACAGCAGGTCCCCAGGGCTGGCTACATGCGGGAGGACGGACTGGCCAGCTCGTAGAAGAGCAGGTAGGCATCGCTGCTGCGGACGTGGCTGGGGGGGA